AAAAGAAACCCTAGAGAAAAAGAGGTTTTGGGGGCAATTGTAAAGAGGGAAAATATATTTTCCCCACTTTACGTCTAATCAAATACTGAGCATTCAATGCCATATCTTTTCCCCTCTCATTTTTACCAAATTGCCCCAAAGAAATCACCCATTAACTTTCAAGAAAAACAACTTCAACTCCATCTTCATTATCGTGCATCATTTTCTCTCCTTCAAAAAAAATTTTCCTTCAAAAATTTCCCCCATCGCCGCCATGAAACACATTGTACTAATGAATATCATGGCCAGATCGAAGAAAAACCCAGCCCCAACACCAGGTTTTGAGCGTTTCCAGACAGCCAAAGCTGAGGCATGATTCAAGAACCTCCAAAAATGGCAAGTCTCTTTGGAGGATGTTTCGTTTTTCTATCGAAAAACGAAGAACCATTCGGACCGGAAGTGATGGATGTGGTTTGAAAACACAACTGGAAGAAGTTTTCTTGCCACTCTAATGTAGTAGATCTAGCGATGGTCAGAAAATTTTACGCCCATCTCGAAGACCCATCCCAACACACCATTTATGTCAGAGGGAAACTCCTTCGATTTTCCCCTTCAATACTCAACAGATATTTCAAGTTGGGGAAAGTAGAGGATCAACATAAGAGGTTTATGGATGAGGCAGACCAAGAAACTTACAGTGGAGTACTGAAGACTTTTCTTTCGGGTGGGCTAAATTTGAGGGAAACGCGCCAACGAAGAAATGGGTCGATCGCTAAGCCCTTAAACCGGTGGTGAAATTAAGGAATCACTTTATCAAGGGCAAGCTAATACCAATATCCCACAACACGACCGTGCTAGTGAAAATACTGATGCTATTACATTCAATAATCTACGGGCAAGCGATCAACGTTTAAGAACTTATCTTCGAGAAAATCCATGAATGCGCCAAAAGAAACCTAGGTAATCTCTTATTTCCTAACTTGATAATTGCTCTGTGCAAAAAAAAGGTCTCCGAGGAACCATTTGAGGATTTCATCTAATCTAATGAGGGAATCACCAAGAAAAAGTTCTAGAGTTAATGAGCTTCGATGACAATGCCCCGCATGAAGGTCTGAAAAGAGGAGAAAAATATGTTGTCGTGGCCAGAATTGCAGCAATGGTCAAATACATGCGACAAATTGGTGAGAAGATCGAGCGTTTGGAGAATCACATGGAGATCTTCTTTGTGTACGTCAAGGCATGGGATGCACAACTCAACGCCTTTTTTAAGGAATTGGTCCCAATCACAAACGAAGACCTGTCGCCCTTCCACAATTTCATCTTCAAACACACTGCTGGCGGTAATATATTCAATGCCTCGACACAAAATGTTCCCCCAGAGGTACCCACAGATGTTCCCCCACTTGTCACTCATATTTTGACCAAACCAGAGGAAGGTCACAACGACACAGATGAATTCCTCAGCTCCTCCTCCTTCTCCACTTCTGAAAGCACTCAAGAGATTCTACTCGATTTCTTTACTGATGAAGACTTTACTCCTTCCCTGACTCAACCCAAGCAAGCACTAGTACAATCTTCGTCCGTCAAGCAACGCAAGTTCCTGAAACAAATCAAAGCTAAACTCCAGTTCTTGCACAACCCACTCCAACTAAAGACCAACAAACACCAGCACGAGCCCTGAGCACCAAGCAAAGCATCAAGCGAACGGTGAGTCATATCTTTCAGCCATCCCCCTCGATGATTGCAACATTAGATTCAGGATTTGAGAGTCCCCCTCCTCCAAACGACGCAAAACGTGAGCATCCAGTCAAGCCACACCACCACATTAAGATCGTATTTTAGTTTTTTTAGCATTTTCATATAGATACATGTAGTTTAGTTTTTCATGCATTGAGGACAATACATCCCTCAAGTTTGGGAGAGGTATTGTAACACACTTTGTTAAAAAACAATTGATGATATCTGGTTAAAAAATTTTGGTTGTCATGATATAAGCATGTTAAGCCTATTGTTTGGAATAGTAGGGATACCCGATGATGAATACATAATTTGATTGCCTAGGCCAGAATTATTTTTAAGACTGTCAAAAGAAGAGAACCAACCCTAGGCCTAATTCTTTGAAAAAATATAAACAAGATTAAGTTGTCTCTGCTTAAGGTAATAAGTAAAATTTTTAGGAAATAACCCTTTGCTTGTCGAGACATCGAAAAATTTTAAGGTTAAGGTCGAACTCCCTAGTATTTAAAACTCAAAGAATAAAAGGGATACTCCTCTATGTAATGGCATAACCAGAAAACTCCATAAAATAATTAAGAGTTGTCAAGGCATATGAGTGAATGAAAATAGTCACTTGATGATCCTACCTGACTAGCTTGGGGGTGGAAGGTATGTTCCCTTTCACCTAGAGTGTGGGAGGGTATATGTGATGGGCTGACTCCTAATAAAAAAGAAAAAAAAGAGTTGATAAATAAATAGGAGTGAAAACTAATCCTGACAAATAATTTGTCACCTTGACAAACCAGAAGCACTTACTTGAAGTTTTCTAATAACTTTAATGCATAGACTGATTACAATCACGCACACACAATATCAAAGGATCCTGACTAGGGAAGGTACTTGACTGATATAACAGTTAAACATATTGAGGCCAAACTTTTGTTGAGGGCTGAAATTTCAAGCCACATGATTTTCTTAATACTGCTTTGCCATGACAATCTTAATTTTTTTCTAGCCACTGTCCATTGCTTGAGGACAAGCGATAGTTTAAGTTTGGGGCGTGATAACTCCATAAAAAACTCTATTTCTAGTCTTTTTACTTAATTTATTGCTCATCTAAACAAAGTATGCATAGCATATTAGTTGCATTTAGGTTATATTTGTTTGTGGTGGATAAGTTTTGCTTTAGCAAAATTTATTTGGTTTGATTGATGTTGCCGAGGAGAAAGGGTTTGTGTGGATTGTGTATGTACAGGAAATTTACTAAGGAAGAACATTTCAGTCGCGACAAACTAATTTGCAAGGGCCAGTGGAATGGAGAGGATAAAGAAAGTGAGGAGCAAATTTATCTCGCCAAGGCAAGGTTTATCTTTAAAGTCTCGAGCGGATACGACGAATCGCTTATGTCGCATGCCAGTTGTACGACTCTCCTCACGTGCAAGCAAGCCCTCAAGATTCTAATAATAACCAGTCGTCTTTCCTTTTTTAGCCTGGACAAGACAATAATGGGTATTTAGGGAATCTCTATTTACACGAAACCCTAGGAGATCTTCCTTATAAATACTCAGCCATAGCCGCAAAAAAAAGGAAGTTAGAAGATCTTTAACTGAAGCGCGAGTGAGAAACTGCAGTGCTTCCCCCACCATTTACCAACCGACGGTCCTTGGTGTCCTCCATAGCCAGACTGTAGTAGAGCGGTGGTTAGGCCTCGAGAGAGGCTGGCCGCCAGGGCAGGCGCGGTATTGATCAGAATTGTCACGACAGAGCCCCCAGTTTTAGGAGTCGTTCTTCCTTTGTTATTCCTTTCTTTACATGTTTAGGGTTGTATTAAAATGATAATACTTTGGTATACTTTTTGATAACACCATGAACTGTCTTACTTGGTGTTAATCTCTGTTTTGTCTAAACAATTATTTTCTACTTTATGAATGACGAATTATGATTTTACTCATGACTGTTTTGTTCATTGTTTAAATATTTTTCCTTGGCACTGTAAGAGCTTCGAGAGATTTCCTGGGGTCTTGGTGAAACACGTCTTGACATTGTAAGAGTGTCAAGAGATTGTCGTTTGTCTATATATTGATTCTTAGATTTGAGAGAATTAAGATAGATCTATGTGAACAATGGAATAGATCTGGGATGGTGATGTTCTAACTTGTCTACCTTAGAGAAAAGGAGAGGGTTTCAATCGACTAAAAGGGATAGAAGCTAGAGTAGGATAGACAACGATTATAGTTTACGCTGAGATGTATTGCTACAACAACAGTCTGACAAATCAAGGGTTGTAGTTAACGCTAAGTAGTATTGCCATAACATCCGTCTAAGAATACTCAGTAATTCTGTTGGGCATCTTAGGCATATCATAATAATTCATTCTAGACTTAGAATAATTGTTTTTCATAACAAAAGATTAGCATGAGTGGTCTATGATAAGTCTAAATATGTGATGTTGTTTTTAATATATTTGAATCAACGTTTACCTTTGCTTTATTTTAATTCGATATTTTTGCATATTTATTTTGTCTCGACCAAACGTTTTTACAACCATACTTTATAATATTTCCTTGTTTTAATTTATTACTAATATTTTTCTAGTTTGACAAGATTCCAGGAATTAGCTTGTGACGTCTAGTTCTGATTGTGGTGAAGTTTAAAAATAATCGACCAATCCTTGAGGAGACGATAACTCACTTACCCTATATTACTTGATTCGAATGTGTATACTTACACAGAATTGCTTGCCTTAGCATATACATTTACAAGCGATCAATTTGGATGCTCAGGCATTTTACATGTCCTACGATCGATGCCAACGCACTGGGAACATATCCAGGCGACATGAAATGCCACTAAAAGGCAATTTGGAAATTGAGTTGTTTGACGTTTGGGGCATTGATTTCATGGGACCATTCCCATATTCTTGTGGTGATCTATACATTTTGCTGGCCGTGGATTATGTATCCAAATGGGTGGAGGTCATTGCAACATCAAAGAATGATTCAAAAACCATGCTTAAGTTTTTGCATAAACACATTTTCACTCAGTTTGGAGTACCTCGAGCCATCATTAGCGACGAAAGAACCCACTTTAATAACAAGTTGATTGCCAAGGCATTAAGAAGATATTGAGTCTGTTACAAGATTGCCATGACATAACATCCACAGACAACTGGCTAAGCTGAAATATCCAACCGCGAGATAAAGCATATATTAGAGAAAGTGGTGAATCTAAGGCGGAAGGATTGGTCACCAAAGTTAGATGAAGCACTCTTGGCATATATAACAGCTTTTAAGACTTCTTTGGGCATGTCACCGTTCAAGTTGGTGAATGGGAAGGCCTTCTATATCTCTATCGAGCTAGAACATAAAGCGCATTGGGCCATTAAGAGGTTAAATTTCGATGCTCAATCAGCTGGAGAGCAAAGATTATTGGAACTCAATGAGATAGAAGAGTTTAGGGCACAAGCTTATGTGAATGCCAGGATATTCAAGGAAAAGACTAAAAAGTGGCACAACCAAAAGATGATGCCATGCCATTTTCATGTTGGCCAACAAGTGTTACTTTACAATTCCATACTTAAGCTCTTCCCTGGAAAGCACAAATCTAGATGGTTTGGACCTTTTGAGGTGCATCATATCTATCCCCATGGAGCTTTTGATATAAAAAATGTTGACGATGGGACGATATTTAAGGTCAATGGTCAGCGGCTGAAAGTTTACAATGGAGTTCCAATGTTGTGTGACAAGTCGATGTTATACCTGCACGACGTCTGAGTGTGCCTGAACTATAAACAAGAATTCAATGCCACATCATTGAATTCTGTTGATTGTGCATAAATAAAAATTTCATTTTCTTTTATCTTTATATTTATTTTTATTATTTATGGATAATGGAAATTTGTTTTGTACTGCAGGGACCCACTAGTACTGAGGCTATACGAAGGAACGGTTATCAAAGGAGGAAAAGACAAAAAATTTAAGGGGAAAATATTTTGTTTTACTTCATTTCCTTTTTAATTTTATTTCTATATCTTTATTTCTCTCTATGCATTGTCCTTTCACATCACATTAATTTTTACAATTTACTTTTTCTTTTTTTTCCACCTACCCATTTATCCCGTCCACTCATTTCTTTTCAACTATTCACTCACTTCATCTCTTCCATTATTTCTTTTAACTTTTCCTTTTCATATTCTTCTTCTCTAATTTTCCTCCATAACCGACGCCATTGAAGTAAAAAAAAACTCTCAACTTTTTGTGATTTTTTCCTTCAAACCACTACAAAAATTGTACAAACGAGATCCACAGAAGCTGAAACTAAGATTCCTCAGTAGTTTGTAGATAATGCAGCAAATGAGTGATTTTAAAACTTCAAGAACCATAAGCTTTTCTTTGAGTTGGGGTTCATTTTCATTGAGGAACAAGATAGTGGTTTTGGGCCAGACATGATGGAAATTGTTGAGCCATTAAAATGGCATAAGTTTGCAAGGCACCCCGGCCCCATTAATGTTTCTTTAGCAAAAGAGTTTTATGCTAATATTTCCAAACCAAATAAGCATGCCATTTTCATTTGAGGTAAATATATTCAGTTCACACCCTCTGCCAATAATCGCTATTTTCATTTATAGGGTGTTGAAGATCAGCATGCAAACTTTGAGAAATAAGCCGACAGTGTAACATACGATGGAGTCCTTGAGGATTTATGTTTTTCGAATACCACTTGGAACGACCGACATACCAGCTGTTACTTCATTAATCAGGAATACCTTCAACCACGTGCAAAGCTATGGAACCATTTCATGAAGCATAAACGTATGTCAACCGCCCACAATACAACAGTAACTCTTCCACGATTAATGTTTTTACAGTCCATTATGGTCACACGTCTCATTGATATGGGTAGAATAATTGTTGAACAAGTGCATGAATGTTTGAGTAAGAAAGATAGCACTTTGGTCTTTCTGTATCTTATTATCACACTCTGTCGAAAGAAAAATATTTCTAAAAGTAGTTTTGATGAGGTCTTGTAAGGGGTCTTGGCCATAACAAGAGCCTGGCTACCAATGTTATTGGGTTTGGTTAACCCTAAATCTAAGGCAACTACGATTAAAGCGTCTGAAGATGACTAACCATCTAATGTCAAGGCAAGAATGCTTACTCTTGAGGAAACTGTCTAGCAGATACTGACTCATTTGCATGCTCTACATGGTGATTTAAAAAAATTCTTTGGCTATATAAAACACAGAGATGTTGTGTTGAAGTCCATGTTTCAAGAAATGTTTCCCCACATCAGACGAAATTTCCCGGGTTTCCCAAATGAAATTCTATTTACATTTGATACTGAGGCATCTCATGAGCCCGAAGATACTGACCCTCCCATTGTTGAGCCAGTCCCAGATCCTGCCCACCAGTCCCCTACTCTGGAGTCTCTTGTGGCACCATCTGAACCAACCCCCAGTCCAGTTGCTGCACCTGCACCTCCTTCCACCCGTCGAACCAGTCATCGCACTAAGACATCGACGGGGCATATTAGTATTGCTTACTATCATTCAACTTCTTCCGATTATATTCCTGCACCCATTCGAAAGAGAACAAGACGTGGACCTGCAAGCTCTTCCACCGCAACACCGCCACCACCATAAAAAATTGAGGTACCTCACTTTGCCATCATTTTGCATTCCATAACAATGCATTTAGTTTCATTTTTTAATTTGTTTTATTAAGAATTGAGGGCAATGTTTCTCTCAAGTTTGGGGGATGTAGTGTTCTTTGTATAATATATGCATGATAGTGTTAGCATAATATTTTGTCATAGCATCAATAAGTGGTAAGAGAGTTAGACAAAAATGTTTTGGTGATACCCAATGATGATGAACTTTTAAGCTAAAAATTGAATGTAAATGACTGTTGAGAATGATAGAACTGACTCTAGGGTTTGATGCTTTGTGAATTTTTCTTACACGATTGTATGTCATCTATACTTAAGGAATTTAGGAAATTTTTATGAAATAACTCTAGTTAGTCTTGGCATTGAAATTTGGAATTATGCTGAAATGATAAATCAATGAGAACTCCTTTATGTCTAAAATTGTGAATAAATATTTCGACACAGCTGTAGAGGGACACTCCTCTTTGCCATGGCAGTGCCTGTAACTTTCTTTAATAAATGGCAGCTATGTGCGTATGAGTGAATGAAAGCAGACATGAGATGACTCTACTTGACTAGCTTGGGGATGGAAGGTATTCTCCCTTTCACATAGAGTGTGGGATAGTAGGTGTGATGGGCTGACTCTCCTCGTAGCAGTGGTAAAAAAGAGTAAAGTAAAAAGTAAAAATAGAGTATAAATGTGCTTAATGGATAAGTAAATGTCGAGACGAAACTAAAGAGCTTAATTAGAAATTGCTTAAATTTGTTAAGTATATATTAGATACAATCACGCACGCACACAACCACAGAATTTTGACCTAGGGAAAAATACTTGATTTCTTTATATGTATATCATGTTGAAGCCAATTTTTTTAGGTTGAAATTCTATTTTTTTCTTGACTATCTTGTTGTTGAAAATTACCATGACATTTTATTTGTGTTAATTGTTATCCATTGCTTGAGGACAAGTAATAGCTTAAGTTTGAGGGTGTGATAACTCCGAAAAATGCTACTTTTAAGGTTTTTTCACTTAATTTAATGTTTGTTTAAGGGTCATATAGGTCATTTTAGATGTATGTAGCTGCATATAATTGCACGTATATGATGGTTATAACCGTCTGTTGGGGACCACTGCCACCTGTAAAGATAGACCTCATACAAAAAAGATGAATCTGGGGGTATAATGGACATTTTGAGTACAAAATCCCAAGAACACCCTTAGATATTTTTATTATTAAAGGACACCTCACAAGAGAGAGAAAAAAGAGAGAGGAGATGCACTCTAGCAGAAAAATCTTCATTTTCTCCACCGTTTTCTTCCCTACACTTTTTAGTGGTGTTCCTCCATTAACGAGCTCTAAGGAGTGGTGAACTAGGCGTCTGAGAGGAGTTAGCGAGCTAAGGTGGGTTGTAGTGGTTGATGAAAGCTCCAGTAGTTCGCGTCGAAGGCTTTTTCCTCCTTCCCCTTTGTTTTTATTTCTCATTTGATTTGGGTTACAAGGAACGAATGAATTTATTGATTTATTTCATGGATTATTCAAACCCCATCATGAACTAGATTTATTTAGGAGTTCACGATGGATGCTTAAGTTCTTTCTTTAATGGATGATTGTTATTTTCTATGATTTTATTTGTTTTGTTTATGGTTCTTAATGTCTTAAGGTTGTAGGAGCTATGAGAGTAGTTATTCCTTATGAAATACTTAGTGTTCGAGAGAAACTAAGTAGCTCATCTTCAGTATTCGAGAGAAACTAAAGAGGATCAACATAAGCAATGAGTTTTAGATAGTAACTAAGTGTAATCGACCTTTAAACATAAGGCTAGGATTTCAATAGACTAAAAGGAGTAGTTCTCGGTCAAGAGGGTAGATATTAGTGTGAACACTGAATGGTATTATCATGACATATTATGTTAGACTGATGGGAACCCTACACCTACGAACGCCAATAGGTATTGTCATAACATTCTCAACCTGTCGAGTCCCTTGACTAGAGATAGCATAGGGTACCTTTAGTAAACTCTGTCGGGTAAGTAAAACATAGAAGTGAAATCATCTTGAGAAGTTAGACTTAAGTTTCCCAAGTGACTCCTATCATTCATTCTCGTAGTAACTTGTTGTGCGAGGATTGTCAAGTTATTCTAGTTAAATCCATTATTTACCTTTTTGTTTTGCCTTTATATTTTCACTTTATTTCACTACACACAAGTTTTTTACCGTGACATCTCCAATTACTGCCACATCACACTATCATTCCATTTCCACCAACATACATTTTACCTTGCCTTGACATTTTTCATTAGTACATACCATCACTAACTATACTTAGATAAAGTAGTCCTTTGCTTTGGTTAAACTCATAAACTTTCACCAATCCCTGTGGAGACGATACTCACTCATCATTATTTTACTTGTTTGATTGTGTATACTTGCACATTAATTACATATAATGTTATAGTACTCACAATAAGCAACAATATGAGACACCTAATTCCTAGTAATAGAAGATTATGTGGAGGTGTACTATGTAAATAATAGAGGATTTATATTAGTCCTTTTGAAGACATCTCAATGTTTAGACAGTGAGTCGCAGTCAGTCAAAAATTGATATTGATCAATGTCGAAATATTATATCTCCATAAGGAAGTAGAGCAAAGAATATTGATAAAGTGATTTCAAAGAGGTCTCATCCTGTCTCTTGGTCATGCTTGAGAGAATTTATAGTAGCACTTAGTGTGTGTCAGTTGTAGGACCATAATGGCTACCTGTAGACTTAGTAGGTTAAATGGATGCAATCATACGACAATCAATTTGATTCTGATAGGCTAAGTGGATATGTTAGAGGTTATATCAATCAGTCAAGATCATCTAAAATTTAGATATTTGAGATTCTTCCTTTAAAGATGTTATTTTATGTCTTTAGGAGGTCTTTTGATGATGAAGAATAAAGATAATATATGATCTTCAAGTGGTGTGATAAAGTACACTTTTTATAATGCATTATTTTTTTCCTGTTTCATTGAGTTTTATCTTTCATTTAAAAATGTATCATTTCGTATTGTTTGTGTTTAAATTTTGATAATTATCTTGAAAGTGTAATATTTTTACATAATAAAAAATTATATATTT